AATTTTCCACTATCGACAGGAAAAAGTGTATCTACTTAAATAGCTTTTAAGTAAAATCTTCTCTGTAAAAATTCTGCTTAAATATTTGAAGTCAATATGCTTGGTTTTGCTATAGTTATCTGAATGAGCAAATATAATACTAATGTTGCATTTTTGCAAGTAGTGTTTTAAGTATTCATTTTTGTCCTTCTTAATACTTATTTTTCAAAGAATTAATTCAAATAATGGTACAATCTCTACATAGCACCTTAAATTACTTCAATTACTATAAATTTGTATCATTTGGTTTATATAAATACAGATTTATTTTCACAGGATATAATATTAGAGAAAAGCCTAATGCTTGCTTTAATTTTGCCAATACAATAGAACACTCATTTATTCATCTACTCTATGTCTTTCTTCTATTTGAAATCCTGACAGAAAATATAATATACCTTGAAAAAAAAGCTTGCTTTTTTAGAAGATGAGGAGTATATGTGGTTGAATGATTTAATTCCACATGCCTACAAGCTGATCTTTGATCAAATTAAGATGAGAAACACAACTTTATTTGTAAAGGGGGGATGTAGGCAAATAAATCCTTAGCTCGAAAAATAAGCTCATACTGAAGTTAAAAGTTCATGTTGAATTAAGGGAGTTAGAAAAGATCATTTCAGTCAAGGATAAAAACAAAAAAACATTAAACAATTCAGATTGGAACAGTGAGCATTTTTTTTTCATAAACAGAAAAATCTAAGGAAACATACCACGTAGGTGAAATTAGGTAAAGCCTTCTAAAAAAAGTTTTTTAAAAAAGTCTAGTCTGATTATGTCATCATTTACAATTTTGAAAATAGCATCTAAAGTTATGAAACCTAAACTTTCAGCAGACTGAATGATTTTTTTATTAAATGACTTTCCACCTTTTTGCCTACTCATTTTAGACTGAAATATTACAGATTTACAAATTGAGAAGTAGAGAAGAAACATATTAAGGACTGGTTTCTTGTACCCTTTACTTCTTAATCTTACTTTACAGTGACAAGTATAACAACCAAATTATGAAATATGAAAGATAAAAATTCCTTTCAAATCATCCAATTATATCAAGCACTATTATTGACATTTAATGAAGCTATCTGTACAATGATTCCAGAATCTTCAAAGGCAGCTTATTTAAGAGCAACTATTATGATTGCATCATTTTATCAAATGTACACAATTTCTGCAACTTTCCTTTTGCGCTCCCAAATGAAAATCCAAATTTGTACAAAAACAAAGAACAATAGGTGAAGGGCATTTAAGAAAAGAGACTTCACCAGTTGTGGCAGTCATAGCACTAAACATTATCAATTTCTGTACTTATGAAACATTATTAGCAAAAACTGAAACCAGGACAAAAAAGAATTTAAGTACCACATTTTTGAACTAGACTTTTTAAGTAGACTTTTTAAGACCAGAGTAAATGAAACACAGAGCATCTCTGAAGGTGTACACAATGTTTTGCTCAAGATGCAATCTCAGAACAGATCTAGAAACAAAACTTTTGTATTTATGCACTTGCATCTACAAGCTGAAGATCACTAGCCATCTGAATCATTGACTAAGCCAGTTATTTTAGTATGCTTCCTCACATTAGAGTTGAATATCAATTGTTATGCAAACTAAGGAGATCCAAAGATAGGCAGGGTAATTGGGTATGTCTTAGTAACACATGTCAGAAAATACATTTATGTTTACCATGGGTTTGAAAAAGAGCAGAAGAGAAAAATCCTGTAAAGTTCCTTGGGAGAAATAAAAACTGCACTTTCAGAATACTTTAACTAAAATAAAGGCAATGAAATTTTCTCACGTCTAGAACACGCATGTAACAAGGTTTTAACTAGGACAGAATTAATTTTCTTCATTGTATCTAGTATGGTGTTGTGTTTTCCATTGTGCTTGGATTCTTGATGAAATTAGTAGTGATAATTAGCAACTTGTTGCAGAGCAGTGCTCACACAGAACCAAGAACCTTCTTCTCAGTCAGATCTCCCAGTGAGAAGGATGGGGTGCACAAGCAGCTGGGTGTGGACATAGCCAGGACAACTGACCCAAATGGACCAAAGGGATATACCATATCATATGATGCCATGCTCAAAATTTTTAGCACAGAATTTCTTCCAGCATTCTTGTGTGTGCACTGTTGTGTGCATGTGTACATGTTTCTTCTCTTTCCAGAAAATGTAGTGATCTCATGAAAGATATGATCACTTCACTGAAGACTGCATTGTAAGGAAACAACTGGCTTACATTTCAGCACATGCTGATCACAATATTCCGAAAAAAGCAGAAATGTTGCTATGGACTAAGAGCTGTTTCACTGACAAATACCAGAACATGCTATAAAACAAAGTTCAAAGAAGCTGAATAAGCCTTTTCTAATTATGAAGATAAGACATGGGTAATAGAGATAAATATCATATCATGGTCTCAATTCTAGTCATATCATCCACACCTCAAGCAAAGCACCTGTTAGGTAGAATAATTACCTTTTGTAGCTGGTGGCTCTAGTATGATCAGTTTGTGTCACTATCATATTCTTTATTTTGCATGTATAAATAAAACTACTTCATCTTAATTTCTAATTACACCATAGTTATGATGAGATTTCCAAACAGTCTCAGAAACTTGCAACTTCAAAATACTGATTGAGAAATCTCAAGCCACTTCTTTGTGATATTAAATGTTACATATTAGTGAAGCTCAGTATACAGAGAAGAATAAAGAATAAAGTTTCCATGCTCAAGTCCACGTGACAAATTTGCAGGCTGAATATGTATGTTTGGGTATTACATATCAGAACTCCAGATTAGTAATAACGGCATCTCCGTTTTTGTGAGGAAAGATGTTTATGTTTAATTTCAAAAAGTAAAATAAAATAAAATGGCTTAAAGCATTTTCAGTCATAAAGTTACAGTGACACAAAAGCAAGGATATCAGTCAAACTACCTTCATCTTCAGACCTATCAACAGTTTCCCATACCTATGAGTAAATGTGTTAGCAAATGTTATCCATTTTGTTTTCAAAACACATGAGGTCTGTATCCATTCCAATTCTATCCAAAGTCAATGAAACTTAGATACTGAACTGCTACCTGTGTGCTTGAAAAACTCCATTCTTCTTTAATATTCATTCTATCAAGCCACTTCCACTTAATGTCAGTAGGAACTGATAAAAAAAGATGTGACTGATTCTGTCAATTCTAATGCATTTCTCAATTCTAAATAAATTCGCCAGTTTATTGCTTATAAGATGACTAGAGGAACTAAAAAATGTGCCTAGTTATCTATTGTGACTTCCATACTGAGATTTTCAAATGGAGACAGTCATTTGTATCTTTAAAAAATGTAAATGTAGATGTGAAATTCACTGCCTCCCTCCTTAGAGTAATTAACTGAGGCATGCATCCTACAAAGATGTTTATAACAAGGCCTTTCACTGTGTAAAATTTGTCTTGCTATCAGGCATTGTTTAAATAAATATCTAAACTGAATGCATATTTTTACCCATCGTTTGCAAACTACTAGAAAGAGAAATTGCTTTTTCCTGTGCTAATTTTTAAGACCATATGCTACCAAAAGTAGAATGAGTATTGAGTAAGATTTTACAAATCATCTGATGTGAGGAAAACATCTAGACTGTAAACCTTGGATGATAACCCTGAAATTCTATACTATACTCATTTATTTGGCTTCAGAAAGATTTTAAAACAGCCTGTGGCTTACTAGCAAATAAAACACCTGACACTGACAATCCTAGCTTAAGCAGATGTTCTGCAGATGCAAACGAAGATTTAGAACGTTTTTCTGGACAAGCAGCCTGAAAATTACTCTCACACAGATGATAAGTATCAGTACAAAGCATACTGTTGCAATCCTTGTATTTTTGTATAACAGATAATGAAAAACCATCTGTCCATTGTAGTAATTTGCCAAGAAGCCAGTATAGCATACCATTTTACTTTCTGTATTTAAAATATCTTAGTAATAAACAATATTTCTCATCTGCTTTAATTTTGTTTGCACACACTGAACACAAAATTAACCATGTTCTTATATTAAAGTTACTCATTTATATAACAAGTAATTGGACCATGCAAACACAACTGGACTTCTCTTTTGTATTTCAGTAATAAAAAGAACACTGAAGTGAAAATAAGTGTCATCACTTCATTGCACAGGAATTCCTCTATTTCAGCATTTGAGGAAGTCTGCACTTAAATACCAAGGCAGAAAAAGGAAAGTGTTTCTAGAGAAATATTTTTGAGGTTAACTTAAAAAACAAACACACGTACAAGACACTAATATTCAGTTGTCATTTTGAATATCCAAATCTTCTGAAAACTATGACTTTGAATTCTTACTTGCATAATATTCAACAGTTAATGTTCAGGTTTTTGAGGTATTACGTATGCATTACTTTAAATGATTCACCTATTTGGACAGCTTTCAACTAAAAAGAAACAAAACAATTGTGACAGCTTGGTGATTTTACAGCCTTTCTGAACAACACCTAGCATTATCAATATCCATTCTACTCTAAATTGTCTTTAAAGTGTCAAAAGCCAGTGTACACTAAGATACAGACTGTATTATTTTGACCTCAACAAACAATATCAAGAATAGGTTTACAACTAAAACTCATGTAATAAAATATTTTATTTCAAGTAACCACATTTTAACATCAAAACAATCACATGATAATTAAAAGCACACGGCTGCATAGTGCTCTGCTATATTATGCAAAGGAACATATCAAAGATCATCTCAGACTCAAAGTAACAGGCATATAATATATTTGCAGAATGCTTTCTTATAGTGCGTATCATAACAATAAAGGACATTTTATACTGAATTTTTCTTTTCATATCGTTGAGAGAAAGGATATGAATGATTCTCAGTTTCTTAATTTAAATTAGCTCAAAACTAAGACTAATTTAAAATTCACCACACAAAATAACTAAATATGGCCCCACCTTTTTATCAGACTTCACAGAATACACTTGGTTTCCAGAAGGTATGATGAAATCCCGGAACAGCTTCAGTCCTTCTTTTCAGCCAAACAAACAAACGCCACTGCTTGTGCTAACGCTTCTGTGTGGAAAGCAAATTTGAAATTTTAATTTTTAAATTAATCTGACAGATCATTCCAAGTCTAATTCTATAACATGGAACCAGAGTTAAATCCGTAATCCTTCCAAGATACATGTCCACTTTATTAGTGTTGAAGCATGAGGTGTCCTTCATGCCACAGGAGGACTTGGCTTAACCTATTTGCACTGAACTTCAGATTATGCATTCTATATTTGTTTCACAGATTAAACAACATTATATATTATGCCCTGAAAAAAAACAAAGCTAGAATAGTATTGCAATATATTATAAGTCAACAACTGCTTAACACAGATTACTGTAGTTCTACTCTGAAAGAATTAACATACAGGTTTAACTTTTGACATATGAATAGTTTCAATTAAATACGTGAAGAGACTCATGAATTTATAGCTAAAAATATTTAGCAAGAGCCATTGGTTTATAATTTAAAAAAATACAGGTTAATGAGAATATTTATAGCAAAATACTGCAGAAATGAAATGTAATTTCAAATTCATAACGTAACATTTTCCTGTAGAACACCATATTTTGCAGTATCCCAAGGCTAGCATTTGTTGTGTTTAAGTTTTAATTCTCTAACCATTATTTTGCACTTACATGAAATTTTGATTATACAGTGTAACAAGATAAGTACTCTCACCAGCCTCAGAACAATTCTCTAAATAAATGAGTGAGATATTTGCTTTCTTCCAAAACTAAGCTTATGGTCTTCCTTCAAATATTTTCATTTTGAATTGGAAGCCGCTGACAGGAAATTGGGAATAAAGTGACACTACCCAAATGCTTGGCAGGTTGAATTTTTTATCCATTATTTGATGAATGAAGGCAGCTGTGTTGTTCACCTACAGTTTTTCCCCATTCAAAGGATAATCTACAGTTTGTGTTTTAATTACTACTGACCAAAAATATAGCAGGCAAGTATGCTCCATGAGCCATTTTTCTTTTCTTTTACTGGAAATTCTCTGAGCCATTTTTGTAAAAATATTTCATGTTTGGCTTGTTCCTCAAGGGCTAAAAACCTTTTCTATCTGCTAAGCTTCAAGACCAATTAAATGGCAAAGTATATGTCATAGAAATATGATTTTGTCCTATTTCATTTTCTTCCCCTTGAATTTTCAAAATCTGCTGAGGGTTTACCAATCCATCATTTTTGCATCCTTATAACCAAAGGAATACTGCAGTCGTGTCCAATATATATTCCCCGATATATATAGCATAAATTACATGTCACAAAAAAACACTAATACATACGTTACAAGGAGTTGTGTTACTAAGAAGCTTAAATGGACCCTACAGGAATTATGCTATTGAAATAGAAATTTCACTTGTGAATTCTAGCTTCTGCCCCTTGAACATGTTTTTCATTCTATTTTCTAGGACTGAATGTTGTTTCAAAGGCTCTTGACCTACATGATGTATGTAATCCAACAGTCTCTGTAGTTCATTCCCTAATGCTTGCACACCACAGATGTTGATTAGAAGAAATTTCTTTTTCTCTCCTGTGTCTACAGAGAAGTGGCACTGATTTGAGACTTCCACTTTTTTATTTTAACATGAATCAGTAAATAGAGCCTTAAAATATTTCAAAAGAATTTATAAAATCAAGAATGAGGTGAGACTTTTATGGAGGTCAGCACAGCCATTACTGCTCACATACACTCCCAGTTTCCTTTATAAATTGATGTTGCCATTGGGTTATTCCAGGAGCATTTGTGCTGACACAAAAATACAAAGAACAACTCCTTATACTTTTTAGTTTTCTGCATGAAACATTTTCACACAGATTAGTACTCCTTCTATCCCTACAGTTAAACCTGTTGAGGTAAACCTGTGTGCTCATGGTAAATCGCAGAACTAGACTAGCACTAGCAATATTATTCAAACTAACTTATATACAAACTGTCAGTTACATTACTTACGTTTATACACTTAAAATTAGAAGAAAATTGTCAATTTCACAGAAAATTGCTGAAAATGATATAGAGAAGCTAATATTGACTCTAAAAGACAGTAGTTGCGAAAAGGTCATTTGGAGACATTCATTAATTGTTTATTTTAACAGACAGTCATTATTCCAGGCAGTTCAAATTGGCAAAAATCACTATAATTGTCAGAAAGCATTAAAGGACTGTCGCTTGTCAATATGAACTCTTCTAAAAAGAAGCAGCTTGAGAGAATCCCATTTTTAAAGTTAAATGGAAAAAAGAAGCATGAATACCCTAATGTGGTTTTTTGCTGTCTAGAACCTACACGAACAGCCGTCATTCATTAAACTGTAAAGATTCGTAACAATTAAAAAGAATAGCAGTGTTCAAAAACTTTTTTTTAAGAGCGATTAGAAAAAAAAAGCAACATAGGCATCAGCACATGAAAGCATGAGATGCAATGCCAGGGGCTACAGGAACAGAAAGTCTCTTTTTTCAGGCCTTCTCCAATCTCCCATTGCTACCCAGAGAGAAAACATATATGATAGTACAGGTCCTTCATTCCAAACTTTTCCCGTCAGCTTGGAAAATAAATGAGTGCTGTTGTACAATTGTGTGGCTCCGAAGTCTGAGAAAAGCTCATATTATTATGTGTCTCAAGGAAGTGGATGTGAATGTATTAGAAGATGCATTGATTACCCCTGACTTTTCTCTCCATAAGTAACTGCACAGACATCACAATCTCCGTTTACAGCTCCGAACATTCATGTCTCAAAATCCTCCTAGACTCACTGCCTCAAACATCACTGGCCCCTCCCTAAGCCCCCAGAATATTACTGATTCAGCTCATGCTTTTGCTCATTTCACTGAATGGTGAATATTCACTGAAGATGAATATCCAGCATTTACTACTAGGAAGCCTTGAACAACCTCACTAAAAGTAATGACTTCACACTGAGATATAAAGAAAATCTAAAATCCTTCAATTCCAGAGCTTGCACAAAATACATTAAGAATGATAGTCCCAGATTTGTATATTAAACTCAATAAATTTGTTCAATGAAATCATACATTTTTCCTTCTCAAAAGAAAATAATCAACATGCATTGATTGCAGTAGAAAAAAAGGAATCTGTGCTCTTAAACACAGGCATGTAAATACTATGAATGCTGAACCTTAGACTCTTTAAAGACTCATTCTAAGAAAAGAATGAGCAGAAGGATGTTATCCTAAACTTCAACTTACATAATTCTGCTTTGAGTTTGTCCAGGTTAAAGTGTCTTTTCTTTTTTTTTTTAAAACCTTTTAAAACTTTTTTTTTTTAAAAAAAAAAGAAACCTTCCCATCTATTAGTTGGGGACACTAAATACTAGTTCTGTTTCTAAACATAGCTCAATAATTGTCACAAAAACAATTACTATTTAAATGAATTTATATGAGTTTTCTACACTTTGTCTAGGGGAAAACTTACACTAAGATTCAGTATCCTGCTTTTGTTCTAAATATATGACCAAATTCTAATCACAGCAGAATTCAGTTGAGACTTGGAAGGTGGAAGGAAAGTACAAATGAAAGTTTCATTGCTCTGTAATTTTCCTTTAAGGCATTCCAATAATAGAATTAATGTACAATTTTTAGTGCTGTCAAGTTACATTAAAAGCATTATTAAGCCCTTCCCGAATCTACATTCTAATAAATGTCAAGTCTTTCATTTATTAGATGTTTAAATATTTACACTAAGACTTTAATAATGAGAGTATACCTTGCAGATCTGTGTGCTGTTGCACTATTAAAGTGAGATAAATCACTTGAGACTGTTATTCACAGAGTATTAATAAAATGGTTTTTCTTATCAGATCTTAATAATACCTTCTTTTTAACATGGTCACAATTGCACTAATAAATAAGAATTATTATTTAATAACTTTGAGAATGCACAGGAGCACCATCAATCTTCTGAAAACACTGTAAGAACCTGGTATTAAGCCATTTAATTACAGCTATCTAACAACAGGTATCCTAGGAATGCTTCATCCTCCAAATGCTTCCTCCACCTCTGGCTATCAAAATCTATTTAATGTAACTCTCCATGTTTACTTCTCAGCAGTGCGTCATCTTTCCAGATGGCTACAGGGAAGGAAGCTTTTAACATTTGTAATGGTATCAGCAGTAACACATATTCAAAGATTTTACTAGAAATTAATCCCTCTATCAGGCGTTCAGAGTACTTGGTACAAGTAAAACATCACCCATAAAATCCCACAGAAAAATTTGCCCTTCATTCCTAAATATATTTCTGCCTCCTCAGGTAGGTCATGTGCAGCTCAGCCTCAGAGTAAAGTTTCGCTAGCTATACCTGAAAAATCAAAAGATTTCTTATCAACTCAACTTCTTCCTTTGTCACTGTCAGTATATAAAATTAAATAAAGAGCTTTAAAGAATCACAGGACAATCAGAAAAGCACTCAAAAGCTTATACTGTACCTTTATTTTCATCTCTGCCTCTGACACAGAAGAGATAAGAAGAAGATAGATGAGATGATTGAAGAAAAAATGAAGACAACAACACTTGTGATTTATGGGGTATTTTGTTCACTGTCTAGTTCTACGTTGCCAGAAGGAGTGCCATGAATGTATTTATTTTCTGAAGTGCAGAAGAAAACGAGCAAAATTATTGTATTTTCTCCTTCTGTCAGGGTCTTATGACTTTTGTTATTGGTATTCCACACCATAATATCAGATAGTGCACTGGATGTTAAAGAGTTAATGCTCCAGTTCTGTGGACTGTCCACAGTCCTGTGGTACAGGTACCTGTTCTTAGAACAGAAAGAAAGAACTACAGCTCCCAAAAGACTTCATTACTCCATTTCTGTTTTCTATTCAGAGGGAAAGATAAAACTGTTTGGTAGACATGAGATTTCCCTTTTCCTTTCTGCTCATCTCTGCAGTGCATGCTCCCTAGCCATCTTACCTTCAGCATTAGAGTAAGACTTTTGATTTTTTTGCACACACTCATTTTATTTGTTTTATTAGCTTCAACTCCAATTATATTGCA